GATGAGTTGTCGTTTTTCAAATCAGGATCATGAGAAAATGCTTTTTTTTTAGAAACTTTTTTTTTTTTTTGTATTATTTCATTACGGTGACAATCTTTCTAACAGTTGAGACAATGTTTTATCTTGTATTAAAACTTGTATTAATATATAAAATACAATTAAATTATACACAAGTAGTTCGCTTGAATTCACTTAGTGTGGAGACAAATTTAGAACTCTTGCACATTATCCACGTTGACTTTTGTTTGCCATTTTATCTGAAATAAAAGTGCCAAAAAATTCACAAATTACAATTTGTAAATAGTAAAATGTTACTGATAAACTGCCAAATATTTTTTTTAATTTTGAAGCAAAAGTTTATCTATCGTCGAAAATATCTTCTCTACATTTTAATAATTTTCATACCCTCAAATTAAACACCCAACCTTTTAAAGTGAAATACACACACACACACACAGATATTATTAGTATTTATATATATATATATATATTATATATTTCTTGGAGTCGACTCTCGACAATTATTTTCACTAATTTTATTTTTCTGCGAGAAACGGACAGAAATTCTCCAACTATTTGCACATGGCGACTTAAAACACGCCAACATTTGCCTTGTCAATGTTGCTTTGAATTTTTGTTGCTTGAAAAGATATATATTTTGATTCTGTGTACTTGTTTGTTGCGACATCCATATCTTGATAAATATTGATTTTGTTTCATTTATTTTGTCTTTGAGAATGTGATGTCTTAGATAGAAAAAGCCTTGCCTTGTAGGTATCCTTGAATTATATGTAATTATACACGTGTTGGATAAAAAGCCACCGGAGGCTTGATCTTGTTCTCTTGTTGCTTGCCACGAAGCACTTGCTACTTTTTTGTTTTGGGCTTGTACTTGTTGCCTTGCCTTGTCTTGTTGCCTCCCCTTTTGTTTTTCTCCTTGCCTTGGGTTGTTATATCCTTGATATAAGGACTTTTGCCTTGAAAGAAAAACATGTCAAACATGAGGATATCAATACCAGCTTTAAAATAGGTACCTCCACGAGATCGTTAAAAAAAAGAGGATAGCATGATGAAAAAGACGTTAAACTTGACGAAAACAAAATTTTATCGTCTAAATGTTTGTTATTCATTAAGAGGAAAGGTCAAAGTATTTTTTGGGGTATTTTTTTTTCCATTTTTAATCATTCCTAGCACGTCCGAAATTTTCGTTAAAAATCTAGTTTTTTTTTTTTTTTCAGCAAAATTGACCATTTTTTTTCCATTTTAAAAAAAAAACTGGAAATCTCACTTTGAAATTTTTTTAAATATCAATTATCATTTTTCAAAACTTATTTTAAGAAAATCAGAAATTATAATGTTTATTTAAAATATTTTTAACCAAACTTAACTTAGCTTTTGTGCAAAAAAGATGTAATTTGAAAATAAAACAAAGCAGGTCATAAACTTTCGCGTCTCTTGACATATGATGAATGATATATTTACGAATTCCATGAGGCTAATTTGTTCTACGGAAGGAGAAAAGTGAAATAATTTACATTTACGTGAACAAATTATTTACCCCGTTATTTTTAACGAAAACTTTCAGCGGTCTAATTTTTTTTTTTGTACTTAGCTTTCACCTTTACGTTTATGATGCTTTATGGGAAATATATTCTAAAGAAATTAAAATAAAACTGTTAAGAGTGACATTAAATTTCATATTTCTTAAGAAAGGTATCTAATTAATTTATAGGTACCTTTCTTATGAAATTTTATCAGAATTGTACATAAAATACTATAATTTTATGTACATTTATTACATTCTACTGTTGTTTGTATTTGCATTCATTTTATTAATTTTGATATTTCATTTATGGAAAAATGTCGTAACTGAGATTAATATAAAAATATCATCATATAAATTTCATAAGATGATACTGATACTTGTAGGTAACCTTCTCAGTTGAAATTGAAAAATCAAATTAACTTCTCCACACGTGTTTCGCAAAAGTAAAGGCCTTAACAGCGGATAACAATGCTTAACTCAAATAACGCAGCTTAATTATATTCTGGTTGGTCTTCCGTATTTTATAAATACAGCTCGATTATAAGCACAAAATTACATTTCTTAATTACTGGGGATCTTCTGATTAGTCAAAATGATACAATTTACAACGCGCTAAAAAAGATCTATCTCATAAGGACACTTATGAAAGCCGATGCGGCTTTTAACTAATTTTATAATATTTTAACAACTTAAATGTAAAATCTATTATAATTAATGAAATAACAAATAATTGTATTAAAAATTCATTTTTCATCGAAAAAATTTTTTTGCTTTCAGAAAATATTGTCCATATTCATAAAAACAACTAAAAGCAAATAAAAGCATTTGAAATTAAATAATATATTTGTTTTATTGAGTTTTGTATGTTACAATTCAGAGCTGATTTTCAGGTACTGGGTTTCCAATTAAAAACAAAAAAAACATGATTTGCATTCCTCAAAGCCCTGTGCTTTTAATTATTGTAATCACTAAAACCGATGCGATCGAATTTATAGCGTTTTCATAAAATTAGTTATGGGGGGGTAATAAATATTTTTTTAAAATATTTCTACCATGACTTTCATAAAAAAAAAATTTATAATAATTTCGATCATCTGTGAATAGTTCCTGAAAGTTTCATTAACATCCGATAATTATTTCTATTTTTGAACGATTTTTCAAATTAATGTGTGTCATACCAAAAAAACGTGCTAAAAATTGTCTATGTTATTTACTAGTTCCGCTGATACAAATAGAAACAAGGTTTTTTTAATCAAAATTTAGAATTTTCTAAAAAGAAGGAAAATTTTAAAAAATAATTAAAAAAAAACTTTGGTCTTTCCTCTAAATAATAACATAAGCATTTAGACAATAAAATTTTGTTTTCGGCAAGGTTGGCGTCTTTTTCATCAAGCTATGCTCTTTTTTTAGCGATTTCGTGGAGGTACCTACTTTTATACTATTAATACATGCACAAATTATATATATATATATATATATATATATATTATGTGTGTGTGTCCCACCCGGAGAATATCACATATCTACAAAGCAAAGTAGAGCGTAAGGAGAAACAAAAAAGGAGGGGTCTTACATATAATAGGAGATAATCCCGTTTCTGGAGAAGCCATGTTTCGGACGCCAGATTCAAACGGGCCGGATTCATGTAGTGGAAACGCGAATTTGAATAGAACGCTCTGTGATTTCGAGAAAACCTAGGTACCTCCACGAAATTATAAAATACGGAAGACCAACCAGAATATAATTAAGTTGCGTTATTTGAGTTAAGCATTGTTCTCCGCTATTAAGGCCTTTACTTTTGCGAAACACGTGTGGAGAAGTTAATTTGATTTTTCAATTTCAACTGAGAAGGTTACCTACAAGTATCAGTATCATCTTATGAAATTTATATGATCTTATTTTTATATTAATCTCAGTTACGACATTTTTCCATAAATGAAATATCAAAATTAATAATAAAATGAATGCAAATACAAATAACAGTAGAATGTAATAAATGTACATAAAATTATAGTATTTTATGTACAATTCTGATAAAATTTCATAAGAAAGGTACCTATAAATTAATTAGATACCTTTCTTAAGAAATATGAAATTTAATATCACTCTTAACAGTCTTATTTTAATTTCTTTAGAATAAACGTAAAGGTGAAAGCTAAGTACAAAAAAAAAAAAAAAAAAAAAAAATTAGACCGCTGAAAGTTTTCGTTAAAAATAACGGGGTAAATAATTTGTTCACGTAAATGCAAATTATTTCACTTTTCTCCTTCCGTAGAACAAATTAGCCTCATGGAATTCGTAAATATATCATTCATCACATGTCAAGAGACGCGAAAGTTTATGACCTGCTTTGTTTTATTTTCAAATTACATCTTTTTGGCACAAAAGCTAAGTTAAGTTTGGTTCAAAATATTTTAAATAAACATTATAATTTCTGATTTTCTTAAAATAAGTTTTGAAAAATGATAATTGATATTTAAAAAAATTTCAAAGTCAGATTTCCAGTTTTTTAAAATGGAAAAAATGGTCAATTTTGCTGACTCAAAAAAATTAGATTTTTAACGAAAATTTCGGACGTTCTAGAACGATTAAAAATGGAAAAAAAAATACCCCAAAAATACTTTGACCTTTCCTCTTAATGAATAACAAACATTTAGACGATAAAATTTTGTTTTCGTCAAGTTTGGCGTCTTTTTTTCATCATGCTATGCTCTTTTTTAGCGATCTCGTGGAGGTACCTAAGAAAACCTAATGAGCTTGTGCCCTCCGGCAGGGTTCGAACCTGCGTTCCTATTTGTAGGGATTAACCACTTTTCAATATGGAGTTTCACCAATGTAATCCTTGTGAAAATTATTACAGGTGATAGAATAAATTCCTCAAAGTTTTAGCTTATGTTGTCTTAGGTTAATTAAGTCTCTTGTTTTATATTTGACAAATTTTAATGTTGAGTTTAGAGGAATTATTTATAATTGTAGTTGTGATAGTGTTTGCGAGTAGAACAATAAATTTTGATTCGTTGGGTTTGTCAAGAAGGACCGCTTCAAATCTCAAGGATTTTAAATAAAATATTAAGACGCTAGAAATCTTTTACAAATCACACTAAATGCCTTAATTGTTCTCCGTAATGAGACCGACGACAAATTTGAATTAAAAAATCTACTTTAATACTAATTAAAAAGGACAATTTATTATGACGAAAAATGTATAGAAAGTGCTTTAACCGCTTGATCATCTACAGTAAATTTGCGACCTGGTTCTTACGTTTCATCACTTTTGGCAGATTTTCTATTATCGCAATGAAGGATCTTTAATAACGAAAGTGACGGAAAAGATTATATATATATATATATATACACACACACACACACACACACACACAAAGAGTAAAGAATACGTTTCCCATAATTTGGCTAAATCAACAAACATTAGGAATTTCAGGAAAAAAAAGAATATTTAGGGCAAGGGAAAAAAACAAAAAAAAACAGAAGGAAAAATTCGAAAATAAAAAAAAACAAGAAAAAAAATTAAGAAAAATTGCGTAAAGGAAAATGTTGAAACAAAGAAAAAAAAAAAAAAAGTCCAGAGGGGAGTGCAAAGGGATAAAGAAAAGGGAGAGAGAAGCGCCAAAAAAAGGATAAAGAAAATTGAGAATGAGAAGTTGCCAAGGGATAAAGAAAAGGGAGAGAGAAGCGCCAAGGGATAAAGAAAAGGGAGAGAGAAGCGCCAAGGGATAAAGAAAAGGGAGAGAGAAGCGCCAAGGGATAAAGAAAAGGGAGAGAGAAGCGCCAAGGGATAAAGAAAAGGGAGAGAAAGCGCCAAGGATAAAGAAAAAAGGAGAGAGAAGGCCAAGGGATAAAGAAAAGGGAGAGAAGAAGGGAAATAAAATAAAAATATATATAAGCAAGGGATAAAGAAAAATAGAGAGAGAAAAGCCAAGGGATAAAGAAAAACAGAAGCGCCAAGGGATAAAGAAAAGGAGAGAGAAGCAAAGGGATAAAGAAAAGGGAGAGAGAAGCGCCAAGGGATAAAGAAAAGGGAGAGAGAAGCGCCAAGGGATAAAGAAAGGGAGAAAAGAAGTGAAAAGAAATTACCAAAAAGTTGAGAGAAAAAAAAAAAATGAAAAGAATTAAAAATGACCAGAAATGTGTGGGTGGGAATTTCACGCCATAAAATCGAATCAATATTTTCACCCCGTGACATTTATTCCTGAGACTAACGTCCAACTTATAGAAAGTTACACGCGAGCCTTCATACAATCAACAATAACCAATACATCGTTAAAAAAAGAAAAAATTCCCAAGTTGCGAGTCCGACCCGATGTCAGTCATTTAAAACAAAAAATACTGATCGTATACACATGTTCCAATGTCCAGATAATTCAATTCACTTTGGATGCACCGATATCGTGGCCTTTTACCAAACTAAATTAGACTGGTAAATTTACATTTCTATCCAGTTGCTCTAAACTCTAAATGATAAAAAATTATTTAGCAGAAGTTTACATATTAAAAAAAAAAAATCGGGAAATATTGGCGCAATACAATCTTCCAACCAATATTTGAAATGGACAAAGAAAACACCGAGAAGGTAAAAGTAAAGAGCCCAGTACTATTTTCATACACACGTGTATAGTCATCGTGTTGTGGTAAGGGAGTTTGCGTTTCTCGGGGAAACTGAATGCAATGCTGTCGGGAGCTTCGTCTCCTGGTAGGGTCACCCGTGGCGGTAAGGATTCAGCGAAGGGAAGCACTATCCGACACCCGGTGGGTAGGCGGTCAAGGCCACATTTTACATATAGGAACAAGCTGGCCGCCCGAAGCAAGCTGTCATCATGAACCTGCCTGTCAAACCTAGCTTTGCTGCAGCGGATGGTTTCAGCTGAAATGTGTGTGCCATGGAATGGTAACGCATGGGTGAGCTCAAACAATTTGCCACTAAGGATTTCGTGCTCAAAGGCATTTCAAAGAAAATATCGATGTGCCCCTAATACTTGACAATGAGTTCCACCAACGATGAGCAAACAGCCGTTTGGTTCCCTATAACCCACTAAGCTTATTAAAATATAAAGGATTTAAAAATATTACATGACATGATCATCTATTCGTCTTCAATCCGTCTTGCGAGTTACAATTTTCCAAGCCCACTTTCCACATTGTGTGCCCTCGAAATTTCAGTTTTAAGTATAAGTGTCCTTTTACACTATTTACATTATTCGGACTACTGTCCTCATCTTTGTCGCCATATTTATTACGTTTCGGCCTTCTTCAGGTAGTTGGAATGTCGAACTGAACCCTTTATTTCGCTCACTGGGGTAGACTGTTCTAATTCCATGTGCCATACACAGTGGATGAAGGCGTTGGTTAGATCCAGTGACAAAACCCAAAGAGTGGGAGTTCAATACCCAGTTAAGGCAGTGGAGAACTTGGAAACGGGAATTAACAGAAGATAACTGACATTCATTAAATATGGCACGTTGAACTAGAACAGTCTACCACAGTGAGCGAAATAAAAGATTCAGTTCGACATTCCAACTACCCGAAGAAGGCCGGAGCGTACAACGGCCGAAACGTTGTAATAAATATGGCGACAAAGATGAGGACAATAGTCCGAATAATGTAAAGACAGATAATGTCCTTTTTAGTTTCCAAACTTAGGTGAGTACAGTCTAAATGAAAAAATATTGGTATTTTCTAAGCGTAGATTAGATATGGCACGATGTCGAAAGTAGTGATTTTCCAAGCGGAGGTTAGATGTGGCACAAGGCCGAAAGTATGGGGCACCCAGTGAGGATCAAACTCACTACTCAGTCGTAATTGATCGAGCGAGCCAAGCTTGCTAACCATTACACCACCTCGAGGTGCCCAATAGTGATTTTCCAAGCGTAGCTCAGATGTGGCACAAGGCCGGAAGTATGGGGCACTTTGTACTCGTAATTGTTCTAATGAGACAAGTTTGTTAACCATTACACCACGTCAAGGTGCCCACTAAATGAAAGAATATATAGGTGAGAATTATGTCGCATCAATTTTTCATGTTAAGGGTCAACTTGTTGGTTTTGAAATTCATTTTTTTTATTTTATCAAGGACCAAACACTCAAAACTGTAATGTACCAACCGATGAGAAATTAAACTTAGAAAAATTCTATATCCAAACTTAACCGTATTTAAATACAATATATATTTCACCACAAACAAAGCGTAGGTTAGTGTAAAAGAGTTGGAAAAACTGTTTTAAAATAACCAATTTTCTATCCTAGTTGACCTCCACTATAGAAGCCAGAACAAATATTCGTTGCTACTTTTTACACCGTACAAATGATGAATGATGTTTACGTAGTAAAACGTAACATGAAGATAAAATATTAAAAATGATTTTTTATGAATAATATTCTAGCGATAAACACGGACATCGGCTAAAAATGATAAATAAATAAACGACACTAAATGAAATAATATATAGGTGAGAATTATGTCGCGTCAATTTTTCATGTTAAGAGACAACTTGTTGATTTTGGAATTCAGTTTTTTTTAAATCAAAGACCAAACACTCAAAACCATAGTGTGCCAACCGATGCGAAATTAAACTTGAAAAATTCTATATGGAAACTTAACCGTGTTTTTTTAAAAAAAAATATATTTCACCAGAAACAAGGCGATAAAAAAATTAATGTAAAAAGAGTTAGAAAAGCTTTATTTGTTTTTTATTGGCAATAACCAATTTGCTATCTTAGTTAACCTCCACTACAGAAGCCAGAAGAAATATTCAATTGATACTTTTAATTGGTGTTATCTACGAAGAAAAAAAATATCTACACCGTTACAAATTGTACTTTGGAATGATATCTACATAGTAAAAAAATATATAACATGAAGAAAATGTAATTAAAAAAGCTTTTATAAACAATATTCTAGCGATAAACAACGAATATGGCCTTATATTAAAAATATATAAATATATATATATATCTATATATAAATATATATATGTCTAAATTATCTATATATATATATATATATATATATGTCTGTGTTATATATATATATATATGTCTGTTCTATTATATAATATATATATATATTTCTGTCATTATCTATATATATATATATATATATGTCTGTCTATCTAATATATATATATTCTGAATGATCTATCTATCTATATATATGTTATCTAAAATATATTTATGTCTGTCTAATCTATATAATATGTCTGTCTATCTATCTATATATATATATATATGTCACATATATATATATTGTCTATCTTAGTTATATATATATGTCTTGTATAATATATATATAATATTATCTATGATATCTATATCTATTATTAAAAATAATCTTCTATATAATATAGGCTCTAATTATATATATATATCTATCTATATAAATATATATATATATATATATATATATATATATTCATTTATATATTTATAAATGAATGCATATCTATATATATATCTATATAAATATATATTCATATATAATATATCTATCTATCTATATATATATATATATATATATATCTAAATAAATCTATCTATTCTATCTATATATATCATAATAATCTATCTATCTAAATTCATTTTTATAAATATATATATATATATATATATATATATATATATCTTATAAATAAAAGCCAAAGTAGAAAATTTTAAATCATATGATTTAAATATATATAAAAAAAAAATCATAATATTGATTTGAATTTCGAATTTTTTAAAAATTCATTTTAAGAAATCACGTGTTATAAGCATATTTGTTTTGTTTTGTGGTGGGGAAATTTATAAAATCATCCCACTATAATATTTTTCTTAAATTAGGTACCTACACGAAATCGAAAAAAAAGAGCATAGCTTGATGAAAAAAACGCCATTTAAAACAAAATTTTATTGTCCTAAATGTTATGTTATTATTTAGAGGAAAGACCAAAGTTTTTTTTTAATTATTTTTAAAATTTTCCTTCTTTTAGAAAATTCTAAATTTTGATTAAAAAACCTTGTTTCTATTTGTATCAACGGAACTAGTAAATAACATAGACAATTTTTTAGCACGTTTTTTGGTATGACACAAATTTGAAAAAATCGTTCAAAAAATAGAAATAATTATCGGATGTTAATTTTCAGGAACTATTCACAGATGATCAAATTATTATAAATATGTTTTTTTTTTTTTGTATGAAAGTCATGGTAGAAAAAATATTTATTAAACTAATTTTAAAAACGCTAAAATTCGATCGCAAGTGAACAATAATTAAAAGCACAGGGCTTTGAGGAATGCTAATCATGTTTTTTTTTTTTAATTGGATACCCAGTACCTGAAAATCAGCTCTGAATTGTAACATACAAAACTCAATAAAACAAAGATATTATTTAATTTCAAATGCTTTTATTTGCTTTTTTAGTTGTTTTTATGAATATGGACAATATTTTTCTGAAAGCAAAAAAATTTTTTCGATGAAAAATGAATTTTAATACAATTATTTGTTATTTCATTAATTATAATAGATTTTACATTTAAGTTGTTAAAATATTATAAAATTAGTTAAAAGTCATTGAATGAGAATCTTTTTTTTAGCGCGTTGTAAATTGTATCATTTTGACTAATCAGAAGATCCCCAGTAATTAAGAAATGTAATTTTGTGCTTTTAATCGAGCTGTAATTATAAAATACGGAAGACCAACCAGAATATAAATTAAGTTGCATTTGATTAAGCATTGTTCTCCGAAGGCCTTTTACTTTTGAGAAAACACGTGTGGAGAAGTTAATTTGATTTTTCAATTTCAACTGAGAAGGTTACCTATATCAGTATCATCTTATGAAATTTATATGATCTTATTTTTTATTAATCTCTCAGTTATGACATTTTTCCATAAATGAAATATCAAAATTAATAATAAAATGAATGCAAATACAAATAACAGTATGTAATAAATGTACATAAAATTATAGTATTTTATGTACAATTCTGATAAAATTTCATAAAAAAAATAAATTAATTAGATACCTTTCTTAAGAAATATGAAATTTAATATCACTCTTAACAGTCTTATTTTAATTTCTTTAGAATATATTTCCCATAAAGCATCATAAACGTAAAGGTGAAAGCTAAGTACAAAAAAAAAAAAAAAAAGTTTTCGTTAAAAATAACGGGGTAAATAATTTGTTCACGTAAATGTAAATTATTTCATTTT